AGGTTTGAAGCCAACCAGGCAGAAAAATCCATGAAACTCTAACTCTAATTAGCCAGCAAAAAGTAGGGCCAGAGATGTGTCTCAAGTGGTAGAGTAACAGCTGTGAGCAAGCACAAGGCCCTGAGTTCAAACCCCAGTAGAGGAAAAACAAAAACAAGAACAAAAAAACCACCAGAAAGAATAATAACAGGACTTAACCTTTAAAATTATTAGGGGAGGGCTGGGAATATGGCTTAGTGGTAGAATGCTTTCCTAGCAGGCATGAAGTCCTGGGTTCAATTTCTCAGTACCAAATAAACAGAAAAAGCTGGAAGTGGCTCTGTGGCTCAAGTGGTAGAGTGCTAGCCTTGAGCATAGAGAGGCTCAGGGACAGAGCCCAGGCCCTGAGTTCAAGCCTCAAGACAGGCAAAAAAAGAAGGATTATTAGGACAATTAAATGGGATCAGGAATAAAAGTAATTAGTACACTTCAATAATGTGAGTGTCAGGATCTCCTGGTACATAGCAAGAGTTTGATAAATAATTTTGTTTTTATTAAAAGTGTGAGTGAAAAAGAAATTTTAGATAAAATGAATAGATGTTTGTAAAAATGAAACACATTTGTTTATTCTACATATCGGTAAAGCACTGATTAGACCAAGAAAAGGTAAAAGAATATATGTAAAATTGTTGGTTATAGTCAAATTTAAAAATAGGATTTGGGAAAGGAGATATTTATTTTGCGTTTTACTTTATATTTTTCTTACTGAAAAACCAGTATTTTAGCTAGGCACTGGTGGCTCATGTCGTAATCCTAGCTATTCGGGAGGCTGAGATCTAAGGATTAAGGTTCAAAGCCATCCTGGGCAGGAAAGTCTATGAGACTCTTACGATTCAATTAACCAACCTAAAAACTGGAAATAGAGTTGTAGCTCAAAGTGGTAGAGTGCTAGCTTTGAGCAAAAAAAGCTCAGGGACAGCACTCAGGCATTGAGTTCAATTCCCATGATCAAAAAAACAAACAAAACTATTTTAGATAACGAAAGTACTATAGTATTTTAAGTACAGGGATAGATAATGAAACTTAAAATTTATTATAACTCTCCCCTTCTAAGTATTACCTTTTCCCTGTCCAAATTTTTTTTGTTCAATTTCCATTTGTGTTTGACTCTGCCATAATTTGCTATTAGTCTTGGAAAAATCAACTCCTTACTTTGTTTTGTAGTTTCATTACTCATAGATGAGACACATAATCTAGTTTGGGTATTCTGGTAGCTCTGAATGATATTAAGAAATTGACCCTGCAATGGAGGAGTTGAGAGAGGCCAGAGGCAACCTTGGCCAGTACTCGTTATAGTGAGCAGCCTTTTTAGGGTTCCTTAGAACATCCTGGGCAGCATGGTTTAGGACATATGCCAAGGAGGCAGTGAGTATTGTAGCACTTGCAGTTTTGCTGCCTGTGGATCACTTGGACAATAATATGTAAGGTACTCCATTGTCTATCATGGACCAGAGGCATTGGAGCCAATGCATAAATCTGTGTGTGCAAGGTAATATAGCACACAGCCCTGTGGGGCAGTGATAAGAGATGAGCCTAGCAGACTAAAGCTTCTGGTGGGATTAGCTCTACCCAGAGTTGTTTTTTTTTTCCTTCCTTCCTTCCTTCCTTCCTTCCTTCCTTCCTTCATGTTGTTCCTAACTCAGGACTTAGGAACTGTCCCTTAGCTTTGTCACTCAAGGCTAGTGTTCTAAAACTTGAACATTAGCTCTACTTCCAACTTTTTGTTGGGGGGCTGGGAAGTTGGCTCAGTGGCAGAGCGCTTGCCTTGCATGCCTGAGGCCCTGGGTTTGATTCCTCAGCACCACATAAGCAAAAAGAAAAAAGCTGAAGTGGTGCTGTGGCTCAAGTGGTAGAGCACTAGCTTTGAGCTGAAGAGCTGAGGGACAGCGCTCAGGCCCAGAGTTCAGGCCCCAAGATGGGACCCCCAAAAAAACCCAAAACACCCCCCCAACTTTTTGATGGGCTTTTCTGTCAGGCTAACTTTGAGCTGAAATCCTCAGATCTCAGCCTCCTGAGTAGCTAGACATGAGCCACTTGTTGCCTGGCTACGTGTCTTTAATATTTTTCTTAACATACAGTGGATGTTTCTATCTCTTTGCAGAACCAGTGTCTTTCTTCTCTTCTTCTTCTTTTTGGTGGTGCTGGGGATCCAAAGCAGGGCTTTGTGTAAGGTAGACAAGCACACTGCTACGAGCTTTATTCCTAATTGCCCTTTTGATGGCATCTGGGCTAACTGTTGTCAATGCATTCATGTTTGAGAGGTAATTTTCCTGTTTTTGTTTTGTTTTGTTTTTGGTCCTCGGTCTTCAACTCAGGGCCTAGGTACTGTCCATGAGCTACTTTAACATTCAAGCAGAACTCCACTTCCTTCATTTGTGTTTGAAAGCTTGAGTTTCAAAGCAGAAATTTGGATTAAAAAAATGTACTATGGGGTTTGAAGTCCATTTGCATTATCACATAAAATGACATTACATTTGTCAATAAAAGTTTTGTTAGACTCTTTAAATATAACTGCAAATTGTGAATGGTTATAAAAAATGTTTTCATGTATTTTACTACTTATAGATCAGAATTTATCAATGAAATTGACTGTTCAGAATATGAAGAATTCATCCATAAAAAGTTTGGATCAAAAGTGCAAAAAAATCAGGAAGTAAGTGACTCACAACTATAATCTTAACTACGCAGGCAGCTGAGATATGAGGGCACCAACCCAGGCAGAAAAACTCTGGAGACTTGTTTTTAATTGACCAACAAAAAGCTGGAGGTGGAAGGGTGGCTCAAGTGATAGGATGCCAGCTGTGAATAGAAAGAGCATCAAGGGAGAGGGAGGCCCTGAGTTCAGGCTTCTGTACCATGCCTTGAGGAAAAAAACAAAAACAAAGTTTTTGCAAAGTTTTAAAAAACAAAAGATACTTGTAGCTGGGGACAGAAGAGAAAAACTGGGAAAGAGTGAGGGAAGGGGTGACATTGTTCAAAAAGAAATGTTCTCATTACCTGACTTATGTAATTGTAACCGCTCTGTGCAGCACCTTTATATAATAACAATTTAAAAAATAAAAAATAAATAAAAGGCAAGAAACAAGATTCAATTCTAAGTCTTACAGGATCAAGAACTTCAAGAACTGCAGGACTCTTCTGAGTTACCAAAGGGCCTCAGCTCTGGAGGAAATGCTTAAACAAAACCAACGTCTAAAAAACACATATACTCAGCATGAATAACAAATCTTGATAAATTCAAAGGTTGAAATAAACCCACATTTAATTAAAGGGCAAAAAAATCAGAATAAATGGACTGACATAGTCTTACCAGGTTTCATTCAAATGAAATACAATTCAAAGAAAGAGAAACAGAAATTATTGACTAGAAAACACCTAGATAAGGCTGACCTATAGTGAAGTCAGGTGATCATTCTTAATGATACAGATCACCCTTACAGAGTCTCAGTGTAAAGAATTTCTTACTAACATCCTTAACACTGGGGTTTTTCTGTGTTCCCAGAATGGATCAGGTTATCAGATTACCAAAATGCTGGTATTAACTAGATACCAAAGGTATTATCTTTCTAATCTCAAGCCTGATAGACTGTGTACATAAAAATTTGCTTGTCATGCTGGAATCAGAGCAGCAAGAAAATAGCGTTTGGAAGGTATTTCATCCAACTTAAAAAGCTAGGTGACCAGTGTCCACAATAGAGTATAGCTTTGTCCATGTTTCCCAAATATAATGTCTGTCTTTCCTGGACATCTACACATTCTTACCCTTTTCTGGTTCATTTTCCAAAGTCCAAGCCGTCCACTTCGTACTTGGTAGCACAAATTTTCTTTTCAAAGAATTTACAATGGAACTAATTATGTTTAATCCTTTTGAGAGAAGTCAAAGATACCTTTTTCTTTTCTTTTTTTTTTTTAATAAGTTGGTTATTTGGATTGCTAAAGTAAAATACAAGACATTCCCTAGCAGGGAAAGGTTTGTCAGTTGTAGCATTTAAAAAGAAATTCCGTTTCTTTAACTATGGACCTACAATTTATTAACTGGCCTGTCGTGAGCACTGGGAGACCACTTGTTTTTTTTTCCACTTTCACTGGGAGAAAACGAAGTTCATGCAAAATACGGTAAAAAAGACGTAAACGTTCCCTGGATAGGGAAAGTATTAGCTCTCTAGAGTTCTCATTCACAGTCATCTTCACAAACGTTGGCATTGGCAATAGGTGGGCCATTGACGGGAGCGCTTCTATACATATTATTCTGTGCCCTAAGCAGATGTGACCGCTTGTTTGTTCTCCCCTCCACAGCTAGAAAAGCATTAGCGAGCATCTGCGACCTAACCTGGGATCAGTGTGCCTAGCGCCCTGACCTCCGTCAGCCCGGCCTCAGGTCGTCAAGGGGAAAACCAGTGGGTCAGCCTCAGGCGAGGCCCGGGCCAGGCCCGGACACAGGCAATGTCACCGTCGCGCGGATTTCAGGACAGGCCCTCCCGGTGGGCGTCGCAGTCACTGGAATCCGGCAACTGAAAACGTTAGCAGTTATCCATTGGACACGGAGGGCTTTCTAGCAATTGACGGTACAGGAAAATGTGTTTTTTAACTTCAGAAACGGGACCGGGAAGGATTCAGAAATAGGGACGAAAAAGCCCGCGCGGGGGAGGGGCAGGCCGCGCGAGAAGAAAGGGAAAGGCCTTTCTTTCAGGTGACGCGCGGTCAGGAGACGTTCTCCCGACGTGGGCGCTCACCATTGGCCGAGCCCTTTTTGACGTGCCGACAGCCGCCCAGGCGCGAACAGCGACCAGAGCGGCACTTCATTGGATGTTAGTGAGGCGCGCGCGCTCCCGCGACCCGCCAAACCTCCGCCCGCCAACCCGCTGGTCTAGTCCCCCTTCGCTCCTGACTGGCCACGCCCCTTCCCGAGATCGCCCCTCCCCCGGCAGGCCGGCGGCGCGCGGAAAGAGCGTCACGTGACGACTAGCCCCGCCTCTTCCTCTCGGTCCCATATTGAACTCGAGTTGGAAGAGGCGAGTCCGGTCTCAAAATGGAGGTAAAACCGCCGCCCGGTCGCCCCCAGCCCGACTCCGGCCGTCGCCGCCGTCGCCGGGGGGAGGAGGTATTAGGGGGAGAGCGGGGGGTTGATGGGTAGCAACCGGCTTGGGGGGCCTGGCGGGGAGCGGGGAGGCCGGGTGGACCGAGTCGGCCGTCCCGCGCTCTGCGTTGAGACGGGCGGCGGGTGGGGGAGGGGAGCAGGCCTGTGAGGCCTCCTCGGGGCTCCTCGCCCGCCTCGCCCGCACCTTCGGCCTCACTGGTGGCCCACGGAGACGCAGCGTGGTCGGGGGACCCCTTAGGAGGCCAGGTGGCCCGCCGGCTGCGCGGCCTCGGATGCGTGGCCCAGAGCGGCATGGCGGGCCTTCCCGGGAGCGGTTGGGAGGAGGTGGTGGGGGAGGGGAGGGGACGAGCAGGCACATCCGGGCGATCGAGCAGGCGGGCGGCGGCCACATCGACTCCGATCCGCCGCCGCGTTACGAAATGGCGCATTGGTCCGCAATGGCCGCCGCCTCGCTGCGTCGCCGGGAAAGAGCGCGGGATTGGAGAGAGATGGCGGGAGGCGGCCCGGCGTTGCCGAAAATGGCCGAGAAGCTCCGGGGCGCGGTGCTTTTACTGAAGTTCTCCGGGCGCGATTCTAGGCCTTTACGGAGCACGGCGGCGACCAGAACTGGTGAAATTGTTTAGCCTGTTAACAGCTCCCGGTTGGGGTTTTTTTTTTTTTTTTCTGGAGAGCCTGCCAATTTAAACTGCTTCCTACAGTATTTAGAATGGTACTACTCAGATCCCCATGTGGGTGAAGTGCTTTTTATTGTTGTAGAATTTGAAATTTACAATGTGTAGTAGTGAAATAGGAACTAGGTATTTGATAAAAAAAGCCTGAATATCCCGTTGTTTGTTTTGGCTCTGGTGGTATTTTATGAGTTCTAGTTTCTTAAGTGTTTGAGATTTATGTACGTGTTCTATTTCTTCAGTTTTCGTGTTCTTACGAAATACTTTTAGTCAACAGGGAAAGTGGATTAACAGGCTGTTAACCGTTTAACCTAGCATACGAAGATCTCCTAACTTCTCTGTTTCTAGAGGACATTAGAATATAAATGTGAACCCCTTTAATTAAGGGACTTCAGATGATCGAAATTCGTGCGTGATTGTGGCAATTTTGTAGCATTGGGAAACAATTTCAGGTTGCATCTTAACTTTTTAATGAGCATTTCTGTTTTGTGCTTAACTCTGGTCAGGCAGTATATACTGTACACGACGTAAGTTGTATTTGGATCACTTGACCATATGATGTAAATGCACATATTGTATCATGTAACATTGATAGCAGAAAGCTACATGGTTTGCTTATCTTTCAATTTTTTTTTTTGGTGGAAGAGATGTTGGTTTAGCCTAGGAATGCCTATTGTAATGTTGATTTTTCTCTAGATTTGCCAGGTGTATTTTGCAGGCTGTCATTTCAAGTTAGATTTTGGAAGTGTAGACTAGGAATACTTCAAATGGAGTGGTTGAACATTCTGGATACCGTGCTTCTTAGAAAATGACTGATTAAAATAATCTCTTCCTGGACACTTAGTTGCAGCGTTGAAGAAAGGATTTTTTTTATTCTGGAATTATTTTGATTTAAAGTAATTCTTGGCGCCATTTTAGGTAAATTAATTGGTCAAACTGTTAATGCTACAGGAGCTTACAAAGAATGCAAATTTTAAAAAAATTACAAGAAATAATAAAACATAATGATTCTTTTTCCTAGGGCCATGATCCAAAGGAACCAGAGCAGCTGCGGAAGCTGTTTATTGGTGGTCTGAGCTTCGAAACTACAGATGATAGTTTAAGAGAACATTTTGAGAAATGGGGCACACTCACAGATTGTGTGGTAAGTTAAAGGGAAGAAAAAGATTCTTAGGAAGGGTAGAGGACCTGTGGAGGTATACTAAATTTTTTACATTTTTTATTTTGTAGGTAATGAGAGATCCTCAGACAAAACGTTCCAGGGGCTTCGGTTTTGTGACTTATTCTTGTGTTGAAGAGGTGGATGCAGCCATGTGTGCTAGACCCCACAAGGTTGATGGACGTGTTGTGGAACCAAAGAGAGCGGTTTCTAGAGAGGTATTTCAATACCTTGTTGTATTATATATGGAACAGTGAAAGTTTGGCTTTTTGACTTAATTTCTTTATCTGTAGGATTCTGTGAAGCCAGGAGCCCATCTAACAGTGAAGAAAATTTTTGTTGGTGGTATTAAAGAAGATACAGAAGAATATAATTTGAGAGACTACTTTGAAAAATATGGTAAGATTGAAACCATAGAAGTTATGGAAGACCGGCAGAGTGGAAAAAAGAGAGGATTTGCTTTTGTAACTTTTGATGATCATGATACAGTTGATAAAATTGTTGGTAAGTAAAAATACTGGAATTTGAATTTTTAGTTTCAACTAAATTTGCTAAGTTGCTTAGCAAATTTTGTTGTATTTACTAACCTAAAAAGTGGATAGGTCACTTTCTGTAAATTGCACCTGTGTGACCAGCATCTAGTTCAAGAGTCAACATTTTAACTTCCCAGAACATTCCCTTACCCTGACTCAAGACTCAGCTGTCTTATTGACAGTGTGTTAATGAGGTGCATAATGACAGAGGTTATCATTTTTATGTTCTTTTCCAAACATAAAATAACTTTCTTTTGTTTGATTAAAAAAATTTTAGTTCAGAAATACCACACTATTAATGGGCATAATTGTGAAGTGAAAAAAGCCCTTTCTAAACAAGAGATGCAGTCTGCTGGATCACAAAGAGGTAAGTAGATCTGTTACACGCATATAATAAATGAGTGATGTTAGTGAAATTCTTAAAAACCTTAACTTGGCCTGTGTTAAAGGTCGTGGAGGTGGATCTGGCAACTTTATGGGTCGTGGAGGAAACTTTGGAGGTGGTGGAGGTAATTTTGGACGTGGTGGAAACTTTGGTGGAAGAGGTAGGATATATACTTCAGTTGTAAGTACAAATGTATCTTGAACAGTAACTTGCATATATAATTTTAATTCATATCTTTGCTTTCCTTAGGAGGCTATGGTGGTGGAGGTGGTGGCAGCAGAGGTAGCTATGGAGGAGGTGATGGTGGATACAATGGATTTGGAGGTGATGGTAAGCTTACCCTTATTTCGTCTAAATTAGGTTAGACGGATTAAATACACTTTTAAACTCTTCAGAAGAGTGAACTTTCTCCTTGGAGATTGACCGTTAGTCCTTTTTGGCCAAAAAGATACATTTTACTGTGGGCTAGGGATATGACTCATGATAGAGCATAGCCTGCAAGCTTGAAGGCCCTACTCCTTTTTTCACCCCCATCCCCAAGAATCATCTGTGTTAGCAGTTGAGTTACTGGGGCTTTTTTGGAGGGTGCAGGTACTCAGGCCTACTTCACTCAGTTTACTTGCTTACTACTTGAGCCACGCCTCCATCTTAGCATTTTGCTGGATAATTGGAAATGGAGTTTTGTGTGAGATGGCTTCAGACTTTGCCCTCCTGATGAGCTAGGTTTGTAGACATGAAGCACCAGGGCCAAGCTGGCCTTGTTTTTCTTAGTGAAATTTAAACATTTAACAGATGAATTTTGTTTTCAAGATTCAGTTAAGATTCTTACTGTTAATGGCTAAGCATTAGAGTTTTGTTTTTGTCGGTTCTTTTTGGGGAGGGGGAGGGGCGGTCCCGGGGCCTGAACTCGGGGCTTAGGCACTGTCCTGGGCTTCTTTTGCTCGTGCCACTTGAGCCATAGCACCACTTTGGCTTTTTCTGTTTATGTGGTACTGAGGAATCCAACCCAGGCTTCATGCATGCTAGGCAAGCACTCCACTACTGAGCCACGTTCCCAGCCCTATTTTCAGGTTTTATAACGTTTATTGGCTTGCCAGTTGATTATAAATAATATGAAACAAATTCAGTATCTTCATCCCCTTAATGGTTTTTTTTTGGGGGGGTCTGGTCATGGGGCCTGAACTCTGGGCCTGGGCGCTGTCCCTCAGCTCTTCAGCTCAAGGCTAGCGCTCTACCACTTGAGCCACTGCGCCACTTCCGGTTTTTTCTTTTTGCTTATGTGGTGCTGAGGAATCGAACCCAGGGCCTCGTGCATGCAAGGCAAGTGCTCTACCACTGAGCCACCTTCCCAGCCCCTCCCCTTATAATGTTTTATGTGGTTTGTTTTCATTCAGGTGGCAACTATGGCGGCGGTCCTGGTTATAGTAGTAGAGGAGGCTATGGTGGTGGTGGACCAGGTTATGGAAACCAAGGTGGAGGATATGGTGGTGGTGGAGGAGGATATGATGGTTACAATGAAGGAGGAAATTTTGGTGGTGGTAAGTTTGCTTTTATTCATTTGTTAAATATTCGATACTCTTTTTCATTACAAATGTTTAAAACATATTTTTAACACTTTAATAAAATACAATAGTAGAAAAATAGAGACTGAAGCTAATTTTCTTTGGCCATAAAGTAAAGGAGTAAATGTATCCTTATTTCTTAGAAGTAGTAAAGTGGGCCCTTCTAAACTAGGAAATAGAACATGCAAATTGAATACTTGAATTTTGAAGTGAATAAGGGTACCATCACCGTCTGTGGTCTTAGCTAAAATACTTTTGGGTTTTTTTTGGGTGGGGGGGTCCAGTCGTGGGGCCTGAACTCTGGGCCTGGGCACTGTCCCTCAGCTCTTCAGCTCAAGGCTAGTGCTCTACTAGTTGAGCCACAGCGCCACTTCCGGCTTTTTATTTTTTGCTTATGTGGTGCTGAGGAATTGAACCCAAGGCCTCAGTCATGCAAGGCAAGCGCTCTACCACTGAGCCACCTTCCCAGCCCTGGGTTTCTTCTTTAACCCATGTCTTGGGTCTGTTATGGAACCTCTGTGGTAAAGGGAGGTTGGTAGTTTTTTATGATCTTGGTCATTTCATAGAGTTGCACGTAATTGTTGTAGAGTGTGCTACCATGGTCGTCAGAGGTAGAATTCCATAATTTTAAGGGGATAAAACTTGGGTCTGGATAAACTACAAATAAAATCTTTGCAATTTTAGGTAACTACGGTGGTGGTGGCAACTATAATGATTTTGGAAATTACAGTGGACAACAGCAATCAAATTATGGACCCATGAAGGGGGGCAGTTTTGGTGGAAGAAGCTCTGGCAGTCCATATGGTGGTAAATAATTTTTAGTAAAAACTTTTAGAGCCACTTAAGCTTAAAAGTTTGTGTATTTGAAAATTCTGCCTTTGTATTCCCAGGTGGTTATGGATCTGGTGGTGGAAGTGGTGGATATGGTAGCAGAAGGTTTTAAAAACAACAGAAAAAGGGTAGGTATCTTTAAATTTTTATTATGATGATAAATAATATGTGGAACTGTTCGCTGACTGTAATAATTTTTTTATCCTGTATTATTCAACAGGCTACAGTTCTTAGCAGGAGAGAGAGCGAGGAGTTGTCAGGAAAGCTGCAGTTTACTTTGAGACAGTCGTCCCAAATGCATTAGAGGAACTGTAAAAATCTGCCACAGAAGGAACGATGATCCATAGTCAGAAAAGTTACTGCAGCTTAAACAGGAAACCCTTCTTGTTCAGGACTGTCATAGCCACAGTTTGCAAAAAGTGCAGCTATTGATTAATGCAATGTAGTGTCAATTAGATGTACATTCCTGAGGTCTTTTATCTGTTGTAGCTTTGTCTTTTTCTTTTTCTTTTCATTACATCAGGTATATTGCCCTGTAAATTGTGGTAGTGGTACCAGGAATAAAAAATTAAGGAATTTTTAATTTTTCCATATTTGTGTAGTTCAGTTTTTCTACATTTTAGTACAGAAACTTTAACAAAATGCAGTTTTGAAGGTGTTTCCTTGTGAGTTAACAAGTGAAGATTATTGTTAATTACTATTTTGTATGAATTTTGCTAAAGTTAACTGTAAAGAAACACCTACTGACTTGCAGTTTAAGGGGAATCTGTTCTCCTCATTTCCAAACCATGATACGAATGGGCGCTGACATGTGGAGAGAATAGATACTTGCATGTATGCATTGTGTGTTTTAGATACATAGGATTGGGTATTTAAATTAGCATATTTGTGAATTTAATAGCATTAAGATTACCTTCAAATGAAAAAAAACCCTCAAAATCCCTATTTGGTTTTTGTGCATTTTCTTTCAATGTAATCATGGTTTTAGTGTGTTTTAAGATTTGCTGAATCGTAGCTGTATTTAGAACATCTCCATTCTACATTTACCTTGATCACATTGAGAATGACTGCTACCATAGTTTTGGAGTGTAAAGCATGTCTGCTGCCCTCTATTTAAATTTGTAAAGGGTAGTGGATGTTTTCCCCATCCCTTTAGAAACCATTCTTAATTTTTGATTCAGGACCACTAAGTGTGCAATGTCTGAGCATATTAGTGGATACCTGATTTTATTCTGTTTTTCCTTTGAGACCCCTGAGGCCTATAAGTTTTATTACTTTCCTTGGTTTAATTTCTCCATGCAAGTTTTCAGAGCAAGAGAATAAAAAGACACTTCATTGTCAAATCCTTAACTGGCTGGCATGCTTTCCTGTTTGTACCCCACACATTTTTCTGAGTGAATCCAAGGATAAGATATAATTGTCCAAAAGAACAAATGCAGCAGATATGTAGCACAGTTGCTTAGTACAAGCTTCTCACTTCCCAAAGACCTGGATTGAAATTTGGGTAGTTTTTGAGTTCTTAGTTAAATTCCTACAGAACACACTGTTACTCCTGTGTATATTTCAATCTAAATCTTGTTGGTATGAGTTAGTGATCTTGTTTGGAAGAATGGTTGAGAAGAGATTTCAATAATAAGGTCATACATTATATAAACCAATGTCTACTGTTTGCGCCAGCTAGTGCTTTCAATTTCACTCAAACCCTTAGTATGTGCCCTGCTGTTACTCTTTATTTGACAGTGAACGTTGAATTCAAGATTTTTACGTGGTTTTTAAAGTACTAAGCAAAACAAGCAATAAAAAGGGGAATGGGGCGTGCTAGTGTTTGAATATGCTCTCTTGTTGCTCTAATTCTGTGCATTATTAATATTTGGATGCATGCAATGCCAGCATGGAAATCGGTCTTCACAGATACTGAAGTTTTCCAGAAAACACTCAAACCAATAAATGTATCAAGACAACATTCCATTGTTAATGGGCATATGTGAATAAGCAGTGTAGAAAATAGGCTTATATTAGAAAATGGTTAAGTCTTATTAACATCAAGTGTGGTTATATAAATGGACACTGTCAATGTTCATAACTTGGGTACTTGGTCAAAATAATGCTTGGGAAACATTAAAATTGAGCTAAATTGTCTCAAGTTTTTTTTATTCGTTATAATAAAGGTTGAAGGAATGGGGAAGATTTAACATTTCCTGTTTATATGTTTGTGAAATTGTTTGACACAACCTTGACAGTATCCTTTAATGGCATCTAAGGTTAATTGTACTGTTAACCAACTTTTTATGTTCTGGAACTAGTTTAATAGTTAAAATATTTCTCAGTAAGTGGATGTTTACAACCTATAAGCAGGTGTGTTCTGTATGTGACCTGTTTATAAGTTGTATTAGGTTAGCTTTGATGAACAGTGTGGAAAAGTAAGCCATGAGGAGGGTGATTTAACCAGCTTTAAAGGACCTAAGTTATGCTTTCTAAAGCACAGTGTGGATCAAAGGAAACTCACTAAGACAGGACTTCAGCAGCCTTTTGATTATGGACAAGTCAGCATAAATAAAGAATGAGAAGGCAGCAGCAAGAGCTTCAACTACAGAGGAGTGAAAGCATAAGATACTATGATGATAGTGAGCAGCTTTCCAAAAGCTAGTTAAATCTGCTTATTACAACTGAAATATCGAAGAAAGTCTAGCAGGAAGGAGTTCTTCGCCTTTTGGAACATCAATGAGATAGTTGCCACAGACACTAGGTCTAGCATTTAGACCTGCGAGGAAGGGCAATAAGGATTAGGTAAGGCTTGAATTTGAATTTTTTCACTAATTAAAGAGTGATTTTTTGTAAAGCAAGGTAAGAGTAATCTTTTTGATTTGCAGGTTGAATGTGAACCCTACTTGCCTAAATGAGGAATGTCTTTCCTACCATCTTAAATACGAAGGTTTCTGGCTGGGTAAGGTTTGTAGCTCACAGTAAAACCTATGACATTTATTTTCCCACAAATCTATTACATATTTAGAATTTCATCCCCCACTAGTAGGGACATTGGCGAGATTCTCAAGCTGAATTTTTGGTACCACATTCAAACTTTAAAGCCTTCGCTTTTTTAATTCCCCTGCAATAACCATTAGTGTTCATAAGTTAGACATGGCATTTTTTTTCATCTATATAGATAGAGTTCATTAAGTGTCTAGGGTAATACAGTTTCCAGTAAAGGAAAGTATGAAAACTTTATTGTAATAAGCATAACTTCTGACATGATTAAGCTGCCAATCCTCATGCTTAGGAAAAACACAATGAATTTAACACAGTTGATGAAACAGGATCTCTGTTCAAGTGTCCTCAAGTTATCTTGCACGCAAACTTAATTATTTGTACCAGCAGGTTAAATTTTGTTTGGTTTATCTTAACAGTAAGGTTCTGATACTACTTCTAAAAGTCACCTTTCCCCCCACATTTTGGTTGCTACTTAAATCAGTTGCTGATTGTCATAAGGGCTACTTTTTCTGCCCTAAAAGGGCTTGTTAAAAATTGAGGTTTAATTTATTAACACTTCAGGGGACAGTCACTCCAAATGTACTAGTTTCTAAGTTGTAAGTCAGTGTCTTAACATGAACAGCAATAGCTCACCAGAGTGTATTTGCAGAGAAAGGTTGGGTCTAGATCAGAACTGGAATTTCTCAATCAGAATTAAGGTAATAACCTTTCTACATGGTTTAGTTAAAAAAGGGAAACTTTCTTTTAAAGGTATTTTCATTTCATCTGAAATAAAGTGATTTTATTTAAACACAGTTCCATTGTCATTTCTGAAAAATCAGTTATAGTGCCAATAAAGGATGTTATAGGAAATGGTCAGGGGAAATTTCAATCTTTAAACCTATAGGTTTTTGTTTCCAATACTGCATTTTTAAGGTAAACTTACATATTTTTCATGTCCTAAAAATAACTGGTAAAAGTCTCACTGTTAGAGGACTAAATAGAAATAGGCTTAAATTCAAGGTTTTCAGTTGTCTCAGTATGAAATACTTCTCAACTTTCAGGTTGGTGTCACAAAGGTAGTGCATAAGCATGCTAATGATGCAGAAGTTGTGTATGGTTTGTTAGCCTGTCCACAATTTTAGAGCTTGTTTTCTGATTTTTAAGACATAAGAGGTGGTCTGTAATGGATTTAAATGTTTCATTTGTAGCATAATGAAATGTTTACAGAAAGATAACTTTTTCATTAAACTATTTTTTAGAAATTTGTGTCTTGTTTTGTTACTTTAGTGTTCATAATACAGGTAAAACTTCGATAGCAAAAGCTTGTTTTAAAAGGAAGTCTATTGAATGGAAAGGTTAGAATAAAGGTACTTTTGAAGATTTACTGCTATTTTTAAAAGGACACTTATATCTTGGACAGGAGTAATTGGGCAATTGGATGCATGAGAAGAAACACGCTGGGAAAGAATTGTGTGTTGGGGGTAAAGTGGTTTCTTACACTTGAATAGACAAATGGAACATAATTTTATGAGTAGGGGAAAGGTTATATGAAAACGTTAACCTACAGCAAATTTAACCCAAATGAAAGGTACAAGGATATGCTTATAGTCACTAGATTTGGTTATATTGGTTGTAGTTTGGGTTGATAATGTGGTTTTAAAACTACAGCATTGCATATTGGTATTTCTAGCTTTAAAAGCTTAATAGCTGTTAGTATCATTTGAATATGCTTTGAGTTGAAGTATTCTAGAGTCAGATAAGGATTTTGTGGTTTGCTGTTAACAGGATCCTAAGGTTCTCATATCAAACTGGTTTTATATAAGTGTGTTATGTACAGTTAAGTGATCTTAAGTAGATGTATATCTTAATAATACATGATACCTGAAGTCAGAACAAGAATACTTACAGGAAGCATACTTTTTTTTCAGAATGAAAACAACAGGGAAACATTTGAGTGTTGCAGCTATTAAATTGGAAAATGCAGTGTTTCTTTGCAAATATGGGACCTTGTTCTATATTATATTGGTTTAACTTTGGATTGAATGAATTATGTCAAGTTTTGGGCCACTTAGCAAAATAAGCTAATTTTGCTTATCCTGATTTCAGACTGCCATGTAATGGCAAGGGGTGCGGTTCGTTGAGCTGCATGCATGTTAATGTAACTAATTGGCAAAGCTCTGAAAGCTAGCTAGAAAATAATTCCAGTGTTGGTGTAGTAATGGGTCAAGTTAGGCAAAGGGGTTAATTAATGGCTTTGGATTATTTTAAAGGTAGAGCTGGTTAAATTGGGCTAAGTTACATCCATGTATAATCATGAATGTAATTAAATGGTTTTTAACAGGAAAGGTTTCTGTTAGATGTTAACAGACTTTTCTTAATAAACATGTAGATTTACATTCTTTAAAATACACCAGGGCTAGAGGTATGGCTGAAAGCCCCCAGTTTAAACCCTCGTATCACCAAGGCATTTGTCACTTTCATTGGGTTGTTGATTTGTAGTCAAATCTCACTGTCTTGATTTCAATAGGTATTAAAGAATGTAATTAAGATTTTGTTACTCTCATTCTTAAATTTTGTCAATCCGATTTAAGCAACTTAGCTTTGTTTTGACCATTGTCAAGTTATTTGGAAGTTTTGTGTTCATTTCTTTCTGGCTGTTCGATAATATCAACAGACCTTCTCAAATGGTGACCTTATGTGCATACATGTGGAGTTTAGATATTTCAGTGACTAATAAAGTATTTTGTGACTTAGTAATGTGTGCTTTATACATTAAATGAGGTCTTAGTGAATCTGACATCTACATTTTGAGTTTACATGGTTGTCAACAACGATCAGATTTGTGCTGATTGCAATAAGTCATAGCACTGAATCCCATTGTGGTTTGTTTCCAAGATTGTTGAAGGAAATACTATGAAAATAACCCATCGAAATTCTAAAAGAAATTTAAGTTCTATCCACATTAAGAACTTAGATTTCTGGAGCTAGGAATGTGGCTTAGTGGTATAGTGCTGCCTAGCATGCATGAAGCTCTGGGTTCCATTTCTGCACCACATAAAAAGTCGGAAGTAGTGCTGTGGCTCAAAATGGTGGAGTGCTAGTCTTGGGCAAAAAAGCCTCAGGGACAGTGCCCAGACCTTGAGTCCAAGCCCTACCCAGAACTAGCACCAAAGATGTGCGGTCTGGGAAGGTGATTCAATGGTAGATTGCTTGCCCATGCCTTAGGCCCTGGGTTCGATTCCTCAGCACCACATAAGCAAAAAGAAAAAAAGCTGGAAGTGGTACTGTGGCTCAAATGGTATAGCGCTGGCCTTGAGCTGAAGAGCTGAGGACAGCACCCGGGCCCAGAGTTAAGGCCCCACAACCGGACCCAAAAAATAAAAAATTTATGTGCAAAGTGAAGATAATGCTAACACCAAATGATTTGGGATTTTAATAGGTTGACTAGGAAGTTTTGGGATTTCTTTTTAATGCAGTTTTACAGTGATTTTTCCCTCAGTAAAACTGGTAGATTGTAAGTAGAAAGAATCTTGAATATTAAGTGTGAACACATTTGAACAGCCCTTCAAAAGAGTTACAGAAATTTCAGCAAACGTAGGTTTTATATTAATATGAAATGAAAGTTCACCTCATGGTACAATAGATGCGAACTACAGAATTGAACTTAGAACTAAATTATGGTTTAATAGTTTGAGGTCAGGTATAAAAGTAGAAATGGGCCAGGTACAGGTGACTCATGCCTGTAATTGTAGCTACTCAGGAAGCTGAGTTCTGAGGATCAATAGTTTAAGCCAGCCTGGGCAGAAAAGTCCCTGTGAGACTAATAAACCACTTAAAAACGAGTGGTGCTGGGGCTTGAGTGGTGGCATGCTATCTTTGAGCACAGAGTCTTGGGGATAGTGCGCATACCCTTAGTTAAAGCCCCACAACCAAAATAAAAAAATGACGTAGGATTTGTTCTACTTAGAAAGCTTAGCAAATCTTATGTTAGTGTTTGATATATGGCCTTAAAATTCTATCTAAGCCAGCTAAATTACATAGCGGAGCAATTTTTTTTTCTTGTCAGTAGTGGGGCTTGAACCTAATTAGGGCCTGGGCACTGTCCCTCAGCTCAAGGTAAGTGCTCTACCACTTGAGCCACAGCGCCACTTTGGTTTTCTGAGTGGTTTGTTAGAGATCAGAGTCTCATGGAACTTCCTGCCTGGGCTGGCTTTAAACTGCGATCCTCATCTCAGCCTCCTGAGTAGCTAGGATTACAGGTGAGAGCCTTTTTTTATGAAATACAGATGGAGATCTGCTTCCATTTGCTCAAGAACTGCTGTTCTCCCATCACCAATTCCAGGTGCTCCCAATAAGGCTGCCCCCAAAGATATGCCTCCAACTCATTTGCAGTTTTGTAAGACCATTGTTCTGAGATTGGAAAAGTGTCCTCTCCTTTGCCATCATCACTAAAAGAAATTCTTGATGGCACAAGAAAAATAGGACACAGCATTTTCCCATGTCCCAGACCCATTGGTCCTTCAACTCATTTAAAACCTAAGCCTTTTAGTCATTAGTCCAATTCTGCTATTGAGCTCATTGTTTTTGTCATATAACCCCAAATACCCTATTGCAAGGCCAAAGAAAATAGGTAAAAATACATTTATAAAAGTTCTTACCAGGTGGAACTTCTGCTTTACAAATGAAACAAGCTTTGAGGGTTGAGTTGCTAGAAATCTTTCTAGGAATTGATGGGCAGTAAGCCCAGTTAGTCTATTTCCAGGGCTGGTAGACTTGTATACCATTTGGTCCTAATGGATTGATAAGACCAAGGGAATGATTAGCTACGAGTGCCTATTCTAAACATTTTTTGACAGCAGACAGAGCACAAATGACAACTGTCTAGGTGGAGTGAATTTGTGCTGTGAATGGTGTGTGTTAGTCCTGGTTTTGTGGGCTGTTTTTGCTGCTGTTTTGGTGCCACCAGGGCTTGACCTCTGCTTCCCACCCAGATTTTCTTGGTCACAGCTAATGCTATCACTTGAGCCACAACTCCAGTCCAGCATTTTGCTTGACAACTGGAGGTAGAATCTTAGGGACTTTTATGTTCAGTCCAGCTTTGAACTTCAATCTCACAGATATTGGCTTGAACAGTTAGGATCACAACAGATGCAGCACCTGAAGCCATCTGAAGACGTTCAGTTTAGCCATGTCGGATCCACATCTACAATTACAGCATTCCTGGAGGTAGAAGCTGGCTTGAGCTATGTGGCAAAACCCTTTCTCAAGAAAAAATGGGACTTGAGGATGTAGGTCTGTGAGATTGCTTGCCTAGCATGCACAAAGGCCCTGGCATGTTTGGTGGCACCCATTTTCAAAATATTTTGAGGGGTCTTACTTTTGTATCCTCTATAATAGGTGTCCAAATACATTTAAATGTGAACTTTTTTTTCCCAACCTACTCTATTGAGTTCCCTATTCCTGGGCAACTCAATTCAATCTCTTTTTTGGGGGGGGGTCCGGTTGTGGGGCCTGAACTCTGGGCCTGGGCGCTGTCCCTCAGCTCTTCAGCTCAGGGCTAGTGCTCTACCACTTGAGCCACAGTGCCACTTCTGGCTTTTTGTTTATGTGGTGCTGAGGAATCGAACCCAGGGTCTCAGGCATGCAAGGCAAGTGCTCTACCACTGAGCCACCTTCCCAGCCCCTCAATTGAATCTCTTAAAAGGTATTCTGAAATGCAAATCCAATACCTTCTACCCTTTGCTCTTATGGTCTTGAACCAAAACCAAGCCACTGTGATAATTTATTAACTAACTTCCCAAATGGTCTCTCTGTCCCACTCTAAACCTCATCAACCAGAAGGGCCATTTCCTGCTTAACATGATGATAGCTCCTCACTTGACTCTAGGCTAATGCCCTTCTGAAGGCTTACAAGACTTTGTGTTGTGCCTGCCCTCCATACTTCCCCTGGCTTCACACTTCTTCTGGTCCATTAATGCTGTCCATTTTTTCAATTTGGCCTTGGCCTTTGAACTTGCTCTGTTGGCAATTTCAGTATGGCTTCCTATTTACAACCCAATTAACTTTTTATCTGTCTTCGCACTCTTTTCTAATAATGCTTAACTCCCCTTCATTAAGATTTAAGTTCTGGGAGCTCAGAGATACTAGTTTTGTTATTGGTACTACAAATAATGGAGGCATTTGTTGATTAAAAAAAAAAATCAAGGTTTTCATGTCAATAGGTACCAACACATTTACTTGGTTGAAATGTACTTGGCTATTGAAACTATCAATACACTTTCTTTGTAACCTTAGTACCATGCTTGCACCATAACATTAGTACCATACTGTTCTTTTTGTGGATGTGTGTTCTGGTTCTGGGACTTGAACTCAGTGCCTGGGTGCTGTCCCTGAGCTTGCTTTGCTCAGGAGCAGACCTCAACCACTTGAACCACAGCTCTACTTCAGCTTTTTTGGTGGTTAAAAGGAGGTAAGAGTCTCATGGGCTTTCCTGTCCCAGTGGGCTTTGAACCAAGATCCTCAGATCTTAACTTTATGAGTAGCTAGTATTATAAGTGACAGCTACCAGCACCTGGCTCAAAACCATTCAAAAATAAAATTTCCATTGTGTTAAATAGGTGATTATCCTATAGAAAATACTGTTGTGGATAAAAAAATGAATCCAAACAAATAACAATCATAATACTCCTTTATTAGTGCCAGCGCTTTAGGTTGTTTTTTTTTGCCTGCATTAAACAATTTAATATAAAAATGCCATTTTTCATATTTATTTTAAAAAACTATGGTTAGTTTTGCAATGATTTGCTTTTAGCTGGAGGTCCTGTCCTATCATATAAATCTATGAATGTAACAAATGAGATTAAGAACAGTATAAATAAGTCCTGTAGTATTTACACTTACACAAAAACTAGCTCAAACTGTGTCTTAAGAAATTAACTTCACTGTTAAAATGAAACTACTGATTCAACATACTGATACTTTAATGTTTTTTAAAGTTTCATATTTTCTACACTAGTTTCGGCTATTTTGCATAGAATTACTTTGTAAAGTATGTTTCTGTATTTCACATCACAGGAGGTTTTAGTGTAAACAGTACAAAAAAACCCCACAAAATTCATGAGCTCAGAAAAGGTCAAATCCAAACCTAATTTTTCTTAACATCTGGCTTCTTACTTTTGGGAACAAGGAATACATTGCCATCTCGTGTTTGCTGCAGGGAGTATTCGCTTGGAGAGTAAGGTTTTCCATCTTCATCACGTAACATGCTGAAGACCTCAAGATACAAGGTGCTGAGTTGTTTTTTCAGTAGGTGGAGGCTTTTGTCATTTTCTCCTTTTTCTTTGAGTAATTTTTCTTTTTCATCTTTTAAATGACCTAAGTCTTGTTCCAGTTCTACTATATTTTCCAGTTTTCTTTTTCTGCAATTCTGAGCAGCCACTTTATTCTTACCCCTCCTACGTATATCTCGAATTAAGGCAAGTTGAGCTTCATTGAATTGCTCTTTGGACATCATTTCATTAAAGTCATCAACAGGCAGATTAATGATTTTTTCTACAGGGAATGGGATATGAAGAGCCTTTGCTCTAAGCTCATCTCTTGTGAGATGAGCCTCTAAACGGCTTGTATGTTTGTCTTTTGTGAATGGGGCTTTTCGATGACCAGGACTTACAGGCAATTCTTTCTTTGGTGTGTTTTCACACTGGACATCATGCATAGGAGCACTGTGCCCTTGAGTTGGTGACAAAGGTTCCAC